TCAACACACTGGAAGACTTTTGAATCACCAGCTTCCAGCGTTTTACATCCTGGGGCAAAAATTTTCGGCTAAGATTTAGAGTTCCGCAGCAAACAATATTTTTATTCAACATATCCAATAAGAGCGGCACGCTAGTGAAATATCTGTTAAAATAAATGTGATAACTGGTGTTCTTATTTAAGTAATTAGTCAAGTGCTGTGCGACATCGTAACCAATTCCTTTGCCCCTACGAGGAATTTTATCGTTTTTCCCACAGTATACTTCAAAACATATCCAAGGGATGAGGTGCAAAGCATCCATACTTTAATACCCCTTTTAGCAGGCTTTTGGGGCATGTATTGCACGATGCCTAGTCTACCTTTATATTTTATGATAGCTTCATCAACAGATAAATTTTCATAAGGGATGATATGGTTTTGGAAATTTCTCCTCATTTCCGTTAAGAAAGGATCCACTTTTTGCATGAGGTAATATCCCTCATCTGTTTTTGAAACCTCATTTTTTCTATCGGAAAGATGGAAAAATCTCCAAATTNTCGCGAAAATCACATAATGGTAATATCTTTGCTCAACGAGAAATTCTTAAGTTAAGCGTACATATTCTCAGCCGCTGATGCAGAGAGGAAAAGCGACGGACTACTATTGATGACTCATTCTTCACGCGCTCAGGCCTGGTCTAGTTACAGAGGGTGTTGGATCAACGCCACCCATGTACTTATTATAATTAACAAACACTGTTGGACACTATATATTAGTAACATTTCCACCTATGCGACGGTTTGCAGAAGATGTGGTGGCATATTCATTAGTAGAGAGCATGAAAATTTCTTTTTTATCTTTCCACGCTGTGCACAAAAGATTGGGATATTCAACACACTGGAAGACTTTTGAATCACCAGCTTCCAGCGTTTTACATCCTGGGGCAAAAATTTTCGGCTAAGGTTTAGAGTTCCGCAGCAAACAATATTTTTATTCAACATATCCAATAAGAGCGGCACGCTAGTGAAATATCTGTCAAAATAAATGTGATAACTGGTGTTCTTATCTAAGTAATTAGTCAAGTGCTGTGCGACATCGTAACCAATTCCTTTGCCCCTACCAGGAATTTTATCGTTTTTCCCACAGTATTCTTCAAAATTCAAAACATATCCAAGGGATGACGTGCAAAGCATCCATACTTAAATACCCCTTTTAGCAGGCTTTTGGGGCATGTATTGCACGATGCCTAGTCTACCTTTATATTTTATGATAGCTTCATCAACAGATAAATTTTCATAAGGGATGATATGGTTTTGGAAATTTCTCCTCATTTCCGTTAAGAAAGGATCCACTTTCTGCATGAGGTAGTATCCCGCATCTATTTTTGGAACATCATTTTCTCTATCTGAAAGATGAAAAAATCTCCAAATTTGAAAGAAGCGGTCCCTTGCTCATAGTTGCTTTGATCTTCAAATTCGAGAATATCGGATTTGTGGACTAATAATCCGTTATTCTCGGAATCCTTACAAGACTCATGACGAAGAGGCAAGAAATAAAGGCCCATATCTCTTCAATTTATCTTATTGGCTCCCATTTCGTATTCGACAGTTTTTTTCCCCGGTGAGCGAATTCAGCATATTTGTTGGTGTTTTCCATTACTGTCTTACACATTTCATCTGTGAAAAACAGCTTGAGAAACAGTAAGGGTGTAGATCTAGGTGCTAAATTGTGTATCAGTACTTTTCTCATCAGATACATTTTCTGTCCCCGTTAAAGAAGCCAGATCTATTTCTTCCACTTCATCTACTTCGTGTTTCTCATCTTCTTTCTTCTCCTCCTCTTCATCATTGTCTTCTGTCGAAAGAGACTGAAGTGGCTAACCATCATCATCACTGAATAGTTCATCATTCTAGTGTCTGTGGCAAATAAAATCTCATCGATTTCCGCCTGAGTAAGAGGTCTTTTTCGTTTGCTCATTTTCGCAATCAAAATTTAACTGAACTGCAATCAACTCGAAGAAAACAAGAATTTCGTTACACTATTTAACATGTCACTGGAGTCATAAATCTTGATATTTGCATTCATAACTTTTCAAGAAGAAGAATAACATTTCCATCCCAGGTTTGAAGAAAAAGATAGAAACATTAGAATGCTTTCAATATTTGTTATGTACCAATCATTCTGTCAGCAATATTTTGCTAACAATAAACATGAATTGAAACTCCAACTCTCTTTGATCTTCACCTCTTTCGGTAAGGTAAAAGGGGTTGCTCTTCACATAGGTATAATATCCTATCGAATTTTTTTTCTTTGTATATGAAAAATTCTAATCAAAATATTCTTTTTCTTGAATATAATTTCTTAACTAATCATTTTCAAATTTCTTTTTAAATATAAATTTTTCGAAAATAGTTTTTTCAAAAAAAATTATAATTTGATAATAATAATTTTAATACAAATGAAAATGTTAGACTTTTTTCTTAAGTAAAGAAATAAAAATGAAACAATACAAAAACATACACAATTTTTAAATTTTAAAATTTTTTTATTTTATTTCTATTTTCTAAACACAAATCTTACACCATATCTTTTTTTTACAAATTGATACACTCGAAAATCATTTATATACAACTGATTTAAAATATGAAACATAGAATACCCTTGACAGCGTTTAAGTAGAAAATAAATACAATATTGACCACACACATTTGAAGTCAGTGATTGATATACTTTAGAATTCCATTGTACTGCTGAGTAAGGAGATGTATTCATGCCATAAAAGCTGGGTGGCCTACCATACGAATCATACAATTCTAACTCGTTCTTCTTATTGATAAATATACCCAGCCAGTGAGTTCCAGGCTGTGAGGATTCGTCAGAGTTCATAATCGCACACGAATTTTCTTGTAGAATCGGTAGGGTGTCTATAGAATACACACCTCGAAAATAAGGGGACGTCATCTTTTCTTTAGATAAAATATGAAATAGCTGTAATCCATCCATTCTTTAGTTTCCGAAATCATATAAAATATTTCTAGATTTGTTTATTTCAATTAAGTTTTCAAACTCAGCAAAAATGATAACACATACTGTGTGTTCTAATGATTGACTGAATTTTAGTTCTAATCGCAAATTACTGTGCTTTATTAAATTTAAATGTTCTCCTGAACATAAATCCGGTGAAAGATTAAATCCGAATAATGTATTAGAGTTCTTATATTCTTCTCTGGAAATAAATATTCCTCTGTCTTGACCCATTCGATCTGTTCCAACTGTCAGGGTCACGTGATGTAATAACACGCATTTTCTGATGTTGCGAGCTAAAAGCTTGATATTATAGATATGATCATTTTTTTTTCTTGTTTTGGTTTTTAAAAAAGAATGGATGAAAAAAGAATAATAAAATGGTGAATTAGTTTTTGTAGAATTTTGCGTTATTTCTTTTGTAAAAGGTTACGACTGACACCAACAAAAAGAGTTTGATAGGCACGTATAAAATTCAGTTCTTTTCTTGAGTCCATCTTTATTATCTTTGTAAAATAATTCAGCTGTTAATTGAGAAGTTTTGCTATCATATCCATGGTTTAAGAGCGTCTCAATATACGCTCGATAAGGGTAGGTATTATTTGAATTAGAAACCACGCGATCATTTAAGGATACATCTACTTGAGAAAATAAATTCACAGGTCCTATAGTATCATCTTTAGTGATAGCTGAATTGTCAGTTTTAACTATTTTCGCTTTCACATATAGTTGTGTTTGACTGAGATCTATATAGTCTTCTCCACTTCCATAAATGTGAAACTCCACAGGTGCGTTATCGAAAACATTAGAAAGTGGATGAAATTGTATCCACTGCCCATCTTGAATAACTGTTTGAGTTCCGGGTAAATTAAAAAGTTCCAATTCCGACTTCACGCATTCGGGGGAATTTTTCAATAGAAATGTCATTATTACGGGTCGAATATATCGCGTCCACTCACTTTACGTGCTTTGGAGGAAATGATTGTTTTCTTTCTCTTACGCTTTCTTTTATATCCTCCTTTCCCAACCATTGACTGTACTTTATCGAGAGCTTTTTGTGTTAAATTCTTTCCGCTTTCTTTACTTCTTGTTTTTAGTGCTTCTTTAAAATTTTCTCCTGACAATACATCCGACGTGACACGACTGCCTGTTATTAATGCTTCTTTTGCAACAGTTTTACCTCCTTTTACTAAAAAAAGTAATGCCGCTCTAAATAATCGACGAAATATCCCTCCGATTCCATAACCCTTTTGGAAATTAGCCCCTTTATAACAGACTAATCCCGAGCCAATTTGACTCGCATAATGGTCTTCAAACTTTTTAGTACAGCAAACATATGGTGCATTCATCTTGATGGTTATATCATTAAATGAGGATACAATAATTGAGATATACTATTTATAGTATTTGCCTAAGACGAAAATGTAGTACTACAATCACTTTACCTCTTTCGAAGGGAACAAAATCACCTGAATTGAGTCTCAGTTCAACTTGAATAGTTTGGAATGAATGCCTCATTAACGGTAAGTATTGTGGTCTATCGTAATACTGACTAATCGTTTCCCCGTCTTCTCCTTTGATTCGAACGATTCGTAATTAAGGGGCTTGTATATTGCCTACAATTTGTGGTGAAATTAAATCTGAGTAAACGTAGAAAACGGAAAAGTTAGACAATGCATCTGCAGCAAATTCACTTTTCCTGTTACCCGTTATGATTGTATCACGTTGAAATCCTAGCAATTCACCTAACTTCTCTAAATGAAGACTGCTACCCTCCACTGCATTAATTTTTACTCGTTTTGTAGCTTTATTATAATGTAATGTAAACCGACTAGGATTTTTAGGTAAAGTGAGTTGTATAGCTGATACAATATCGAACATTGATTCATAACAACCCATGTCAATTGTTTTCTTAACAGTCGATATGATATTACGAAAAGAATATTAGTATTTAAAGGAAAAAACATACCAGTTCAAGATCACTTTTACAATTTTTGTTAAGAATCATGTAATTTAGGTGCAAAATAGTGCGTAATAGTAGATTGTTTTTTAGATATTGAGTTCAAAGTAAATGCCTCATCTTCCAGGACTGAAATCTTTTGCAAATTTTTTTCCTGGTCTTTGTATGATAGAAAATAGTCTTTCACTATTAGCAAACTTCTCAATGCTGTGTTGAAAGAAGGAACGGACTGTGCTTCTGTTCTTTCTTGTTCATCTTCATCGGCGGATGAAAAGTCCATAACATCGTCCACGGATGGAGCAGTGGTTCTCTCAGCCTCGCATGTTGCTAAGTTTTCTCGGATGTACTCGTCGAAGTCATAGCTAACTGTTTCATTGTCATTCTCCGGGTCTAGTCTATCTAATCCTGCATCTGCTAACAGTTCATTAGAAGCTACGATTCCGCTTTCTTCAAAACAGTGGGAAATGCACTTTTGTGTAACGCTTCTCCAAGCAGCAGAAATAAAATGCATAGCCTCCAGAACACTTAACTTTGGTTTGCAGGCGTCATTTAGGTTTCCGTTCTCTAGTTCAGCTACAGCTTTCCGGACAAGTTGCTTTCTGTAAAAAACCTTAAATATTGCTTATTAAAACGTTTTTTTATTTTTTTCCTTCAACAAAAAACGTAAAATGCGGGAAATTTCGTAAATTAAAAACTTACAATCCGGGTAAAATTAACATTGAAGGTATACGGAAAAACTGGGTCCTGATGAAACAAACGTAAAATGCGGGAAAAACGTAAATTCGGGGGACGTAAAATCGAGGTTTCACTGCATTATGAAGTGGAACTCGGATTTATTATTTGACGATAGGTTGACAACTGTTTCGCATTGATGGACAATGTTCCACTGACCAAGTTCTTTATGACTCTTAAAGGCATTCAGTTCACGTTTGCACAAAAAATGTATACTTTCTTAGACGTTCTTAACTGTGATGAATTTCTCTGTTCTGTTTATAGGTAAACACTCTGTCTTCATAATATTTCATCTCATCACCCTAAGCAAAAGTTGCCTTATGCACGCTTGCTTTTCACACTTCTTAAATGTGTTCTAATAGTTATCTCCTGAGTAAAAGTTAACTCAAAGCTATTGATCGTGAATTTTCTTCTTATATTATCGATTCCATCAACGGAAAATTAATCACGTAATCAAACAAATTCTTTAGTTTGAAGAATTTGATAGATTGATTTCACGATTTGAACTTTATCCAAAAATTAGTCCCCAAATTGAAAAGATTTTAAAGAAACTTGGATTTAAAGTAGTTTTTCTCCCTTGTAAGCAAAGTAAACTTCCCTAAGCCCTGTCGTTAATATTAATAGTGAGAATATTTATCAAATTTTTTGTCAATGTATCGCAGTGAGTACAACTCTCTTAATATGCATATCGCCCTTAAATTTCGAGTTGAAAAATAATTCCAAAATAAGGATATAAAACGATCTTTTACCGTCCTAGATAAATAGAATTCTAAACTTCATGCTTCTAAAATCATTCAATTCTGCTCTTCATAATCCGACCTTGATTTCTGGTAATCATTTCACAGTTTGAAAACCCCTGAGGGGGTTTACCTTCTTTAGGTAAATACAGGGAGTCACGCCCCGGGGTACCCTAGTGATCTATCCCCACTTCCGTTTCCTCTCCCTTTTCTCTTACTTTCTCTTCCCCCTTGTCGTGGTAGCCAAATTTACTGGTAAGGGCTTGTCAT